AAATGCCACCCCATCGATGGGGCCCAACGTTGCTGTGCCGACTCTCCGTCAAGGGCGCAAAATTCCAGGTTCCTAGGGATTTCTGGCGTCAGTGTGACACGTTTGTCCCTGGTGGTGTGGCTGGCGGGGCGGCTCGTTCCGTTTTACGAACCAGCCCACGTACCATGGCTCCTCAGCCTACCCCGGTAGAGCTAACGTCGCTGGAGCGGGAGGCTGCCCAAGCTACAGAACCCAAGCGTCGAATGCCTGAGCGGCGTGCTCGTCGAGGCCGTGTTCGGCAGGAACAGGTCCTCGTAGCTGAGCAACGTGAAGTGCCCAAGTCCAAGCAAGAAGTGGAAGTAGCGGTCAAACGCGCCATGGAAGGCCCCTCTCCGTATAGGATTCCCTGGTTTGTCTTGTCGTGGCCGGAAGTCCACAATGTCATTGCGGCTACGCACAAGGTGTATATGCATGCTGGCACCGATAAGCTGGTTGCTAAGCTCTACACCCTCTATGGCTGGAACGGACTACGATCCCTGGTTAGGGTGGTCAAGCGCTCGTGTCACGCTTGCCAGCTTCGCGCTCCGCACGTCACGCAAGAGCTCGGTCTCCTCCAGCAGCCCAAGCGTGCTCGGGGGTTATTTGACCATGTTTTCATGGATTTTGCGCAGTTGCCGAAGACCTCTGCCGGTTATACGCATCTTCTCTTAGTCGGGGACAGAGCGACGTCTATGGTACTCGGGAAACCGTCGCGGTCGAAGAGTGCTCGTAAAGCCATTAAGTTCCTCAGTGAAGTGGTGCACCCCTGGGGTCAACCCAAGCTGTACACATGCGATAAAGACTCGGTGTTCATGGCCAAGGAATTTAGTGACTTTGCCAGCCAGTCCAGTGGCGAGGTTCATGATGTCACTACGGACCATCACCAGGCCAATGGCGCAGCTGAGGCGATGGTCAAGGTTGCCCAGGATTGGATCCTCAAGTCTATGACAGCTAAGGATGAGGGTGATTGGGTTCCCTGGTGCTATCGTTTTCGGAACTGTTACAACGCAGCAACCACAGCGACGCATGGGTTTGCCCCTTACACCATGGCTACGAACCGGGTGTATGACGGTGAACGGGAGTTCAAGCTTGAGGCTGACGTGCGTCGCCTCCTTGCCACTGAAAAATCGGCTTGTGCCTTAATTCGTGACGACGCAGCTTACCAGCGTACACAACGGGCAAAGGAAGCACAAAGGACGAGGGCGAATAAGATTCGGAAGAAGGCTCCTAAACTCGCTCCTGGCTCTCTCGTTAAGTTCGAGGCTTCCGCGGATCGACCGAAGTCCGAGGACCGGTGAAAGGGTCCGGCCACTGTCCGGTCACAGGATGGCCCGGTGATATACACCATTGCTTTCCGCGGCAAGGAGGTGCGTCGCCATAGCACGCAACTCCGTCCGTACATCTCACCTATCTCTCCCATCATTGGGCAAGAGGTGGACTTAGTCTTCTCAGGAGCTTACGAGCAGTGGCTCTTTATGCATTCTCCTTTTAAGAAGGCGCCGATTGAGGAGCGCAGAGCGGTTTTGCACCACCTTAACCGCACTGATAAGGGTTTGGAGTTGAAGAGCCTCACCAATTCGGCTTTTGGTCTTATGCAGAAAGTGTATACCCGTCAAGACAAGACGGTCAAGTACCATTTGTCTCGGGCGGCCCGTGCATACTTGCACAAGGAGTGGAAAGCGCTTTCCCCTGGAACTCTTCAGTCGCGCATATCCCTTGTTGGGTCTGCGCTGGCGTTTGCCCAGGTCCCCTTATTCCGAGCGAAGAAGGTCAAGGAATGGACGGACGCGGCAAACAATGGGGCGCATACACCAGTATTGGGTGCGACCTCTACCGGTCGGCCGCTGCAGATGCACAGCGTGCCACTGCCAGCCGGCCTGCTGAAAGCTTGGACGTTATCGCCGTCGGCATAATGGTGTTAGCGTGGTGAGCGGTGTGAGGAAAGTTAGGTCTAGCATGACCGTGGCCTGCGGCAACGCTCAAGAGGGACATACTATCATTATATATATTATATACATATGTACATATATATATATATATGTATATATATATATATATATATATATATATATATATATATATA